CGATCGGCGCATGTGGTGCCAGAAATATCTACAGCTTAACATGGCAAGGGTTTCGGGAATTTCATTAGTTTTTCTTTCGTGATAAGCTTTTACAAGTTATTTTTGTCTCTCAGAGTCTGTAATAGTCTCTACAATTTGTTAGCACAAAATGAGGTTCATATCGGCGCCTATACGCTCAATATTTCATAAGTGCGTATGCGGTATAAAACGGTTTTATTTTCCACATACAGGAAATATGTCTTGCCCCACTTGGAAATATCGTGGAGTATGCGGATGATATCTGCCCAGAAGGAACGGTCCATATGGTCACTATATTGTGACGCCCATAATTCGAATGTTCTTTTTTTTATTTATCATTTATTTATTTATTTCGTCGGCCCAAGACTCCCACAGAAGTCCTATACTGCCCACTCAAATTTTCTTTTTGCGTCATGCCTCCATAAGCGTTTTCAAGATAATCTGGTGTGAGTGGTGGTTTACAATTGTATCCATTTCCCTAAAACCATAATGTCTAGTTTTCGCCGAACCTTCCTCCCCATCGCCGTGGGACATTCCCTTCCTAACAACATCCATAGATGGGCCCGCTCTTCAGAGAGCGGATTTGAATACAGAACCCGAGACAAACAATATGCCTCTTTGATGCAAAATTTAGAAGTTATATGTTCGTAATTTCTCTTTCCATCGCTCAACTCTAGCCGAAGATTCTTTGAGCCCATCCACAATAAAGGCTTATTATCACTACGGAGAGCAAACTTCCTACCGAACAATTAGGGGCGAAAATGATCAACTGCCCAGATAATAGCTAGAAGTTCTCGCTCCATCGCACTGCACCGCGACTCGTCATCAGAAAATTTTCTACTGACAAAGACCACAGGTCAATCAATTATTATTAACTCGTTTTGGAATTTTGGATTTTGGAAAACTGGTTCCGCAGTGAGCGCTTCCTTGCTCTTATAAAACTATTTAAATGCTCTTCGGTGAAGAGGGGAGGTCTACCTTTCTTCAAGAGCTGAGTGAGCGGTGATATTATATCAGCCGCATTGGATATAAACTTAGAAACTCATAAGTTCCTTCTGATTAGTTGGGGACTGTGCCCTGGCGATGGCCTCGATCCTGGCTGGATCTGGCTTGACCCCTTGTTCAAAGATGAGATGCCATAAAAATTTTATTTCCGCTTGGAAGAAACCTTACCCTAGCCTACGGAAAAATTCATCCATTAATCTTTGAAAGGTGTGTGGCGCATTTTTGAGACCAAACGGCATTCTCGTGAATTCATAATGACCTCTTCCGAACGTGAACGCTGTTTTTTCAATATCCTCCTCTCGCATTCCCACCTGATGGTAACCAGATTATAGATAGATTATAGAAAAAAAAACCAGCTCCTGCTAGACGATCCAACATGACTTCAAGTCTGGGAAGCTGGTACCGTTTTCCCGCAGTGTTGTCGTTAAGTTTCCTACTATCTATTACTAAACGATACGATGGATCACCTTGCTGATTTTGTCTCTTTTTCTTTTTCGACTGACAACTAACCAGGATACACCATGCCGTATTATCCCTTGACGAAGGAGATCGCGTATCTGTTCATTTATTATTGCTGTCATAGACTGCGGATATCTAAGCCCTTTATTATAGGAGACTTCGTTCTGTTGAAGTATTACCTCATGTGCTCTTTTTCCGATCGCGAATAATGAGCATCTCTTCTTATAAAACATGTCCGTAAACTCGGAAAACAGTAATTCTATTTCGGATTCTGCTATGCGGGCTGCTTCTACACGATACTCGTCTCCCTTGTTTATAAGTCTATCGTGATATACTTTCATTCCCAGTGTCATTTCCCACCGTCCTCGTCCCACCTTTTATCTGAAATCCTAATTTGTCTAGTACATTACACCCGATTAGGATATCATATTGATCGGTTTGAGGGTCCGTGATGGTTCCGGTCTGTAGTCGAGATGTTCCCTATAGGTCCTCCTGTTGAAAGGTATCTGTCTCCACGATTGACCGTCTAATCCTTCCAGCTCTCTTGCTCCCTTGTCCATTATTTCTTGTATGCACTCGATAAAAGATATTTCCGAGGCTAGTTTTTTCTTTTATCGCCAAGTTTCGTCCCAATTGTACCTTTAGGGCCTTCTCAAAAATTGCTAGCTGTTGAACCGCCTCTACTTGTCCTACTGTCTCGACGAGTTTTTCGGATATGGCTCTATATTGATTTAACATTATTTCAGCAAAATTATAATCTCACTGCCCAGACTTTCTAACCTCCGTAAACAATCTGTAGACGTCTTCTTCAGGTGTTCAACGTCCTCCCTCGTACGCCTTCTTCAGTTTTTTAGAGACCTCTTCCCAGGGTGTCAGCTCATCGGCTTGTATCCCGGTTATGGACATTTCTACAATTTAAGGATAACTCTTCCAACCAGAGATGCCCTAAGTTCCGTGGTATCGAGTAAACCCATACCGCAGAGATTCTCGCATAAATCAGGCTGTGTGTTTGATTCCTTTTTTTTTTAATTTTGTTAGTTCATTGATTTATTAATTTCAATTCTTTTATTTATTTTATAGCTATTTTTTTTTTAGTTTATTTATTTATCTATTTTATCTTATTAACTATAATTGTGTTTTATTATCATTATTTCTTATTTTACTCTATTAATTCTTTTATTTTTATCATTTTTTTTTGTACCAACCACCTGAACTGTATATAAGTAGTGTTATTTAGTTGATGGGGCTCTGATGACCTGGATGTTTTGCGCTTAGACATCGAAACAAATAGACAAAAAAAAACAACATATACATATATTTTTAATGATTTTTTTTATAGAATATTATTAAAAATGTTACTATGTATACAAGAAAAATGATTGAACAGTAAGTATTTTGACTTAAATTCAAAATTACGATGTTTTTTTTTTTAATATTTTAGTTAAGCCCTTAAATTATCATGAAGGAATGGTTGCACGAATACTTTTCAGATATCAATCGATTTAGCACAGAGCTGTAAAAATCAATCATCAGCCCATCTCATATGGTTTATCTTTTATGGGATTTTGTCTTCAAAAAGATATTTTCGGTCCACTGTGCGTCGTTCCGACTCAATCTGTTTGCCCAAACAGCGCCCACATCCACAATAATTAACAATAATGATAATAATTTCAGCTTTTTCATTATTAAACCAAAGATTTGGTTCAGGAACTGGTACTTAGAAAAATCTCATCTTGGCAGGTGATCTCTTTTCCATCCAACCAGTTAAGAGCAAATTTTTTTTCAAATAAAAAATTATTACCTTAATTTTTCGAACAACGAGTAATTTATAATTCTAAATAAAGAACAATTGAAATGCAGAATTTCCCTCTATTTTGAAACAGGCTTAAAAGAAAATAAGTGTTAAATTGTTCCTCGTATTCTTCATGAGCGATCAGTGGATTTTCGAGGTTTTAACGACTTTGGACGGTCGTTATTTATTGAAATTATTTTATAATTTTAATTCATTTTTTCTCTTGTGTCTCGTTAACAGTTGAATCTATTTTCGTGGTTTAAGTGATTTTCAAAAAGGGCAGAATTAGGGCGAATTATAAACTATAGTGAAGACTTTTCTACTTTTCATTCCATATTCCGATTATATCTATTCAAAGCACGAAAGGATTTTTGCGGTCCGAACTTTGTTCTTTCGTGTGGTTCAGTTAAATCAGTCAAAAAGGTGATTAAAAAGTAGCATTTATTTCTTGAGGAATTCATATAAAATTAATATATACCTGTATGCAAGTATTTTTGTTTTTATCCTAAAAAATATTATTTGTGTTTTTTCAATCACATTATTTATTAGTACGATAGTTTTTACTTTCACTTACGTGTATATATAATATATAGTAAGGTTATGTATTGTGATCGTGAAAATTTATGAATCTGAGTTTTCAACGGAAATACACGTTTTGAAGTACCCTGAATCCAAAGTCTTGAAAAATGATCTGTGTGACCGCATGTCTGTGTTTCTGTGTGTGTGTGTGTGTGTGTACGTTAGCAGCCTAGCTCAAAAACGAAAAGTCGTACGAAACTGATATTACGTATTTAAAATAGGTATATGCCTTAGATGTGACAGTAACGTTTTCCTTAAAATCGGCTAACCGGAAGCGCCACGTTATATCAACGCTGAAACACATTTTTACAATTTTCTCAAAAACGACTTTAATGATTTTGATTAAACTCGGTGTATCATTGTATAATTAAGTGGTCTTTAATATCAATTAGGTCTTATTTCCGTTGATGTCACTTTACAGGGCTTAAATGCCCAATGTTCATTCCTCTAAATATTTAGTTATCTATCGTCCGTTTATTCCGAAAAATCATCATGTAACCTTTTAGAAAATTAAATTAGTGAATAGTTGGATGAAATTTTCTTTTGTGATATTCCAATAGTATCCTTAAAATTAGTGTGACAACTTTGCCACACCTGTCTATGACAGACAATGCAAATCTCTAAATTCCGTTTTAGTAAACTTTGCAATGGAAAATAACAGTTTAATAACCAATAGTGTTACAATCCATAATCAACTGATCGTACAGTCTGGCATCTACCGGTGATATAATACATAGGACTTTTGTTATTTTAATGGTATTTTTGGTTTGTAATCTGTAGTTTTTAGTTTTAGCTCGTTTAAAAATGCAATTCAAAAATATTATAATAGCCCAACATGGCCATAAAATAATTTCTATTAAAATGTTGAGCGGTAAGTGAAAGTTGTGTGTTGCGCGCACCAGATTTTTTACTTTCACTTCTTTGTCTGAAAATACCTTTTTCCGCTAAGAAGAGCGTGGTAAGTGAAAGTTGAGTGATGCGCGCACCGCACCAGTTTTTTATTATTAGAAATTGGATAACCAGAAACTTATCCATTATTTGATAAACAAACATTTTTTATTGATTTTAAATTTGTTTAACATAATTATTTTCTCCAGTATCTTTGGAACAGTTACATATACATTTTGTGTGTGCTACCTGTTTTTAGGGAATTGTCTGAAAAAATTATATCATGTCGCAGAAAAAGTCTAGCTTCTTGGAAGACAGCTAAAACGATGTCTAAAACACTGATGATGTTCCATTTAATGTTTGAAGAAACGAAAGAGGTAAAATAATTTGTTTTATATTGTAGAATATAATGTTTTAACTATAATTGTTAACTTAACTAATAAGTTTATTGAAGAATAAATTCAGTGTAGATAATGACATAGTGTTTTTATTTATTTTTTTATTACAAATTATAAATAATGTTATATGATAAGAGATACAGATAATATATTTATCTTTTTTTTAAATTACTCTATATCTCCCCAATTAATGGCATACAGGAGGCGAAGGGAGGTTATTCTAGTTCATATATGGAGAACCTTTTCTCATTAGAAGCCGCACTAAGGCAGTGCTAATGCAGGCTGCAACAACTCATTATATAAGGTTGTAAGGAAAATAATGCAGGATTTTGATTAAAAAAGAAAGATTTATAACCATTTTATTTAATCAAAATGGTCTCCACTACTATCAATGCATTTCTCTCAACGTGTTGGCAACTTTTCTATTCCCTCGGAATAGAATTTCCCATCTTTAGAATCGGTAAACTCCAAAAACGCATTTTCTAATTTCCTTTGTTCATTAAATTTTTTGCCACCTAAGTAGTGTTCCATGTTTCTAAAAAATGATAATCCATAGGCGAGTGATCCCGAGAGTAGGGTGGATGTGGCAGAGTTTCATAGCCAAGCTCCAACAGTTTTTGTAACGTCACACGTGAGACATGCAACGTGTCACACGTGTCATGCAACAAAATGAAGGAAAGGATAATTATTTTTGTGCAATTATTGATAAACAAACATACTACCCTTAATCTATTATACTTATGTAGAAGCACATTAATTAATTATTTCCCATATATGGTGTTTGTTAGTTAATTAATGAAGCACATTAATTATTTATGTTTATGTAGAAGCACATTAATTAATTATATTTTTATAGACGTACAAGAAAAATAAATGAACCACAGATCTATAAGAGTAATAAAATATTCGCTTTTTGTGTCCAATGACAATTGAGACATGGACACTACCGAATTAGGTTGATTGCTTTTAACATTTGGAGTACTCCTGAATCAAATCCATGTTGATCTAATAGCCAGATGAAACGGTTTGCAAAATGACGCTAAACCTCTTTATTAAGCCTTTATTAATCTCTGTCATTTTGTGATGAAATTTCAGGATTGCGGAAAAAACATCTTCCATTATTTCCATCGTTGGAAGATCCGTGTTTTGGTTTATCCAAGTTGAGTCCGAATTGAATCCTAAACTGATGTTGGATCTCGTTCTTTGTTCTTTTCATTTTATGTTGATCGCTTTCGCACTCACTCTCCCCATCATCATTATCGTTATTATCACCAATAATGATTTTTCTATTTATGTCATCCCTTCTAATCCGCCATTTCTGAACACCTAAACGATAAGCATTATGAATTAAACATTCAAAAGACCTAATAAGGGCATGCAATGGACAAACCAAAACTATATTTTTCTATTATATCTTCAAGAATTTTTGTGTTACGTTGTTCATGACTGGTTTTTGTGTTACCATGAAGTTTTTTATGTGTCTATGTTACCATATGTTTGTATAAAAGACATTATTAATTTATATTCGATTATTTTCTATGCGTATTTAAAATATAAAAAAACCTTAGATGGCATTATTGTATGTATTCTTCCGTTATGTTCAGGCAAACAACCCTTCCACCCTATTAATAAATTAAAACAGATTTCAGTATATTGGAACACAGTAATTTGAATTATTTGAACAGTTATAATAAAATTATATACTATATAAACTACATATAGGTGATTCCCCCACCTCTATCCGTTCCTCCACCACTACCCCCCACTCCTTAGCTGAGTTTAGCAGCTCAAAAGTCCTCTTTAAATAGTTTTAACAAAAGCAAACTCTATTTTTATTTAAAGTAAATTTTGTCTAGTTTACAGTGAAGCAATCATTAATTACTTAAATTAAACAGTTATTTGTAATCACTTTCTTTTCAACCAAAAACGTGGCTTACATGAAAAATCACAAAACTTTAATTCCCTACTTTTCTGCTGAAAAACGAACCATTGTTTATATAATGTTATTTGTATTTATTGAGTTCAGCTATCACTCCTTTAAATATTTCCCTCTACTTATGAGACAGCCTGTATATGGGTTGGACATGTAAAAAACTAAATTGCTGACATGGGTCACTAAGAGGAAACTTTTTACAGCCAAAAAATCCAGATTTATCTGATCTTTTTTTTCGTATATTACTACTAAACAGTGCATCAAAGCAAAAAAAGTATTCTTTGAGAAATGAAAGAACATCAAATTGTGCGTCGAACGAGTATCTATACTTAGTAATTTGATTAAGTAATGTGATCGATAACCAAGGTAAATGAACGCTAATTTTTACCGACATTGTCCAAATCTGAGAAAGATTTCAATAAATGGCCCTACAACTTGGAAATGATTCCGATCAAATCGGAGACCAAATAATTGGTATCTTGCCTCATGAAAACGTTCCCAACAGCAGCTATTTAAAGAAAAGAACAACACTTTCTAATGAGAAAGGTACAAATTATTATCGTGACCAGTATTACGAATCGCATGAATTCTTCAAGGAGACTATAGTTGCTTGACGTTGCAATGCATCCAGATCTATTGGAACTGAATAAAAACTGGGTCCGGGAGAAAACCCGCATTTTCTTGTGCTTGAATAAAGGTTGTTCGAAAGAATAAATGAAGTTCATCTTTTTTTATATAAATTTTCCTCCATCATGTATTTCACCTGCGAGATGTATTCAGTTCGGAGTCAATAGGAACAAACTTCGACAGGAGCTCAAGCCTTCGCATCTCACGGCGGCCTAAAAACTATATCACTCTTTTCTTCGAATAGATGCTTTTTCGGACTTTTTTGCCTACCATCCAGAAGGAGGACCGCCCCTTGCAAAATCCGCTAGTGCTCGTCACGATAATATTTTTTTATATATATTAAATTAAAAAATTCATCTATGAGGATGATTTTTTCCTATATTTCTCTTTTGATTAAACAGGTGCTTAAAATATTAGTTTTCGAAAGGAAGATCCTTTGGAAGATATTTGGCCCAGTTAAGGAGAATGGTGAATGGAGAATTAGATGCAACCAAGAACTAGCTAACTTATACAAGGAACCGAATGTGGTGAAATATATCCGGATAGCAAGGCTGAAATCGAAGAGCCAGGTTGTATGGATGGACGAGACTTCAATCCCAAAGAAGCTGCTGAACATGGAGCCGGTTGGAAAAAGAAAAGTGGACAGACCGAAACTGAGATGGAAAATGGAGTAAGTGCTGATGCCAGAATCAATGGTATCAGGCACTGGTGGAGGCTGCTCAGGACAGTGAAACATGGAGGAAAACTCTTGAGACAGCCAAGATCCAATAATGGATTTTCGAGCTCAGGATGATTATTATTGATCACATTAGAAAATTCGTCTTAAAGGATTATTTTTCCTATATTTCTCTTTTCCTTAAATAGCTGTTTTTTGGACACTTTTTCTCAGGATTATTTTTCTACCATTTTTCTCCTCTCCTGCTAATGAGTCCTCATTCGACAAGCAGGAGAGGAGGACCACTATCAGTTGGCCTGATGAAGGTCTGATAAAAGACCAAAACCGGTTGAGCAACAGAGAAAAATAAATGGAATATACAGGAAGACGTCTTTTTTTGTAAAATTAAATTTCAATCCTGTAATTTCAAGTCACAATTAAAGAATAAATAATTATTTATTGAAAATTTTTTCAACTTACTCCTATTACCAAAAATACGATTATGATTCGATTAGAGTATGAATCCCATTAAAATTATATTAAGGAAATAACTGGGCAGGAGTGCCCATCTCCCCCAAAGTCAATGGCGCATGAACTCCCTCCTCATAAGAAATTTTATTTCTCTACTCTTTTAAAAAACAGTACAGGAGAATGTAGAATTACAAAAATTATAGATCATATACAATTACACTGGCTGTAGTTCCCCTTCTGGGCTCTGGTTTTGTCCCACTGTGGGGTGCCCCTTGTATCAAGCGGGAAACAACTCAATATGTTCGACCACTACAATCTCATACTTTTGTTTATACATACATATCAATCAATACCTTTTGTCTTACATCAATCTTTATGCTTCTACAATATTTTCACCTTCTATTAGTTTATTATTGACTGCCATCCTGACCACCTTCTTTATTTATTTCATGGTTTTTAACTCAGTTACGAAAATAAAATCGCATCAGTGTTGTCCATCTGCTAAGGACAAAATGATTATTTGTATTACATACATTTGGTATTTGTCTTTTTAAAAAAATGAAAGAACTTTTCAATTTATAGTGTCTCTGGCACTTTTTATTGAATAGGGTTGAAAACCTTTTCTATCTTGATAATTGAGGCAGTTGAAGTAATGACTGGTTCACTGCCCTGTAGATAGTAAAGTTACTAATGTAAGTACTAAAGATGAGGGATCACATAAGATTATGTTAAGAGTTGTATATTAACCATAATTTAATATATTTTAAAAAGAATGGTTGGTGGATAAATTTTCAAAATTTTTAATATCATTATTAATAAAATGGGTAATGGCAATTTATTTTATTTATTATTTTTTTACTACTCTTAAACTGAATATAAAACTACCCCAATGAAATTAACAGTGCTCTGCAGACTTTGTTTACTTTTTTTTTTACTAAATCTAGCTTATGATTTTCAGAATATAACACTGGATAGCATTTATTATCAACGGATGTCCGACCTGATATCAATTTATATTGATTTCGAAATTAAAGCATCTGAGTGAGTATCAAATACATAATTATGTAAATTATAGTTAACAGTATAAATTATTTCTTGTCGATTTTTGAAATAAAATAATAATTTCAGAGTTAGTGTTGAGAGTGCATGTATTTTATCAAGTCGCATAACATCTCTAATGGAGAAATGTCTGGGTTAGTATATTTATTGTATTATTAATCTATTTATTATTATATTATTTATACCCTCTTAATATTATATTTTGCATTAATTTATTAATTGTTTCAGATCATCAACATAGATTCACACTTGACACAATATTAAAGTCACATAACATTTGCAATAAATTTCAAGAAATTAGTACACTTCTTATTAGGTTAATATTATTTCCTTTTAACTTTATTGATATTTTTATTTTCTAACTTACCACCTTAGTAAATTAAACGTGTGTACTCGTTATCTAATTGCATGAATATATTTTTGGGGTGGTGACATTTTATGAGAATTCAAGAAACTTTTTGCCAATTTACTCCACTTAGACATTCCATTTAGATTGAGAAAAGGGGAGAATAAAAAAAAAAAAAAAACAAATTGCCAAGTTCATATTATGTATAAAATTATGTGTAACAATTTACATAATTGACAGAATTGTTACAAAACCCACAATATGATACTGTAAATTTAAAAATAAATACTATAATTGTTTATATATTTGTAATCGGATTTTTTTTTATGAAGCAGTGCACAAATTATTCTAAATGCAGAGTCCTGATAGAAAGAAAAGTATCTGTAGTTTAAAAAGGTTTGGTGGTAATGAGAGGAACTCTCACCATTTAGAGGATGGTAAAATACTTATAAACATACTTCAAGGTCTTAGCCTAGCCATCTAGTCCACTTTATAGTATTTTCTTAATCAATTTCAGTTTACAAATTGTATCCTTTCATGTAGAATCTTTGTTGTTGAAGTTTATTTCATTATTTCAAATTATTATTACTGGGATGAAAGTAGGCCAAAAATCTAGTCCACTTTTCCTATTTTCTTTATCAATTTCAGTTTACAAATTGTATCCTTTCATGTAGAATCTTTGTTGTTGAAGTTTATTTCATTATTTCAAATTATTATTATTGGGATGAAAGTAGGCCAAAACGATATTTTTGCCCCTTCTTTTATTAATGGGGGCAATCGCCCTTCTTGCCCCTTCTGCCAAAGTCTGTGCCTGTGATTGGTAGAGAATTGAACTTCTAATAATAGAATACTGGAGTAATACACTCTAGAACATTCTTAATCTTATCGCACAGACCCTCTCTTAACATTTTGTTTTTTTAAGGTCACATCCAATCCTTGGCAGGGTCATCACAAGTGTTGTATGCTCCAAGGGTGAGAATTACCAGGTGCCTCCTCCCGTTCTTCATTCGAGATTGCCTAACAACTTATTTTACGATATTTTGCTAGAAGAAGAGATATGAATGATGAAATAGTGATAAATTCAGTTTTATTAAGGAAAAATTTACAATACAATGGCTTTAACAATGACATTTATTTTTATTAAAATATATACAAAAAAATGTTGGTATGATTGATGTTGATTATTTGACCCTTCATGCTATAGGCAATTAAATTTTAAGAAATCGTCATCAACTAAAATTTATGTACGAGTATAAACAGTGGAGGAAAAAAATTAAACTACCTGAAACCTGGTGCTATTTTATCCAGAAGATATTTTATTTTCCAATATTTAAGATTATTTTCCAATTTTCAACTTTACTACTAAAAGTAAAACAAGTAAATGTAAAACTGATGATTTGACATGTACAGACTTGAATAGAAATCACCCATTGGTAGCACTCCAATTTATAATTCTATATTAGATTGTCCCAAAGCCATTTTCTTTCCAGATGCCTAGACGGATCGTTCAATTCCAGCATCCAACAGACTAAGCTCAATTCCATAAGTCCAAATAGGCCTTATAATAGTCAAGTAAATCAGTCTTCTATAGTTTATTGGAAGTTTAGAGTGTTTGTGAAGTAAATGTTACACTCAGAAACATCAATCAGTTTCTTTTCATTTTTCTTAGTTTCAGTCTTGTAGGTGGATTCCAAGTAAGACATTTGTACAGTTGGAGCCCTAGGTAGCAGATCTGTTGAACAGGGCCAATTGGGGTATTATTAAAGGATACTATAACAGGACAGGAAGTTGTAGGTTTATGGTGAAGGGTAAAGGTGATTTGATGGGATCTGTTGGAATTAATTTTAATCCTCCAGTTTCGACACCATTCTTCAAGATTTGTGGTATGTGATTGAAGAGTTTGAGAAGTAAAAAATGGGCCATTATTAACTGATAACTCACATGTGGTAATGATGATGTTGATTGAGTTGACATTCCAAGCTGTATAAACTGTGTAGAGGATGGGACCTACGATACTATCTTGAGAAACACAAGGGGGATGAATAAGCATTATCATGGTTTACATTGATTGGTCTGTGTAAGAGGTATATATATATTTATTTAAAATGTGCAAGAGGTAGGAATAAATAATGAGAAAATATATAAGGGGAAGGAATTGACAGATTTTGTAAAGCAGTCCTGGCTGCCAGAATTGATCAAATCCTTGTTCTATGCCAAGAAAGACTCCAAAGAGGCAGCTGTAGTCAAAGTGAGGGACAATGAGAGAGGTTACAAACAGCTGCCTGTTTTCTAAGGAATAGAATCCTGGAATCTCAGGAGTTTTTTAAGGACAATAGTGTAATCTATATAGTTTTTGGTAATCTATATGGTTGTTTAAGGAGAGATTCTGATCAGAGGTTACTTCTAGGTTTTTGACTGTTGGGAGAAAATTGATAGGGCTGTTATTGAGATAAAGTAGAGGAGAGAAAGAAAGGGAACTAATAAGATGTCTGGAACTGATCAAAATAACCTTAGTTTTTTCTGCATTCAATTTTAGCTTATTTATTTCTGCCCATCTGTAGATATAGTTGATATCCTCTTATAGCTTTCGAGTACTTCTTTTCCCTTTTTCTTTATGTCATTTCAGGAGCTATCCCATGGTTAATAAGTATGTTTTCTTCCTTATCTTTGATTCACTTGGATACAGGTTCTCTCTCTTTGGGTGTGTTTTGATGTGTTATCTAGAATAGTTTCTGGTTGTATCGGAAGTTATCTTCCAAAATCTTCTAGGCTTCTTTTGGTTCCCATCATTATTCCATTTGTGAGACACATGTTCAAGATTCGTCCTCCTGAATTGTTAAGAAGTTTTTCACTATTTCTTTCTTAAGTTCTCTGTCATGCTTAATTGTCATTTACAGATCTGCAATTCAAATCTCGCATGATAATTGGGATTCCATCGGTATTGTCTAATTCTCTTAGCAGTGTTTCAAAGAACATATCCTTTTCTGTATCAGGTGCATTGTTATTTTAGTTATCAAGCGATGAACAGTTTGTAGAGCTTGTTATCTCTTCAGAACTTGGATAATAATCTGTCATTTATCACTTTCCATTCATTTTTTTTGTCCATCCCTTCCTCCCCTTCTGGGCTATATAGGGATTTTCCCAAGCCAGAGGAAGGACGGAGGGTTAATGCCAAAGTTACAAAAGCTTTCGCTTTCCATTCTGTAATAAAGCTTGATAGCTCCTAATGAAAAAAGCAACTTACACTACTCTCTTAAATTTAAATCCCCGCCCACAACCCCTGGCCCAGGAAAACCCCATACAGTCTTACCGACGAGGAAGGGCAGGAACCAAAAAATTAAAAAAACTTACACTACTAAGTGCTGCTGACACATATTCTGTGGGATTCACTCCTAAGTATATTAGTATGGAATCTCCATTTTGCTGCTCTATTCTGTATTTCCTGGACCAGATCTACTTCCTTTCCATTAATACCTTTGATATTCCATATTCTGAAATGTATAATCCTCTTTTCTCACCTCATCACTACTGTAGCCTATAGCAGCCCCAATCTGCTGAAGACGACTCATGACTTAATAGTGAAAGTCAACAGGTGTAAAAAAAAAAAATAAATATATAAAAAATATTACCTTGTAATTATTATACATACAAATTGTTGAATTTCCATTAAATCTAAGTCTTGGAAAATGCTAGTTATTTTTGTATAACTAGGATAGTTGTCAATGATCCCCATACATAAGTTCTTTAGTCACTCATGAAAATAATATTTATGTTTTTATTTTAAGTATAAAATAATTTATTCCAGTTAGGCAGTGACTATCTCTTGTGTTGTTTTAGATATCTTAAAAGCGGACTTCAATGTTATCTAATTAAATTTCCCTGATTATAACTTAATATTAATACATTTTATTTATTTTTAATGTCTCATTACTTTATTTATTCTTTCATAGTTATAACAAAAATTGAGTTAGTCGTTAATAATATGTTTGTTTTTTTTACAGTCGTGTTGTTAGAGGCCTTCCTTCAACTAAACATTCTGAGCAATTTTTTTTGCGCTCAATGTTAGTGTTTAAACTCTGGATACAGATAACTAAAGATGTGAATGAGAGAACAAAAATTTTAAAATTAGCTTCTCATTTGGCCAAACCTCCCGTGGAGCTAATGAAAGATCCTTCTAAATTGGCAAAAGATATACTACCTTGTAATTTCCATAAATGTTATATCGATTTAGCAACTTATATTATAGGAACACCTTGGCCATTGCGAAAAAAGATAAAGGTAACTAATGCTACTTTAAATTGTTAAATATTTATGAAATTTCAATAACCAATGTTTTATATAATATTAATCATTTTTTTATTTATATGATTTACTATTTTTGTATATTTCATTCATTATTTTCATAATGTCCTTATTTTAGCACAGAAAACATTATTAATCCTTTAATTAAAAATAAAAATGAAATGAAGTTTTGTGTTTCAGCTCAAAAACTACCATTTTTATCCAAAATTAGTAAAACAACTGCTAGAGTTCAACAGACCATATTCAGTAATTAATTGAGTTATAACCCAATTTGTTCATAATGAATATCCATAAAACAGAAAACAATTGTAACAAAAAGAAAAAAAAATTGCTTATATAAATATTGTAAATGAAAAATGGGGAAGGAAATAAATGTAAATGAGTTAGGTAGCTCAGAGGTTAAGTCCCTAGGGCTCAGGATTAAATCTGGATTTGCCAGAAATTGTTCTGTTTTAATAGCTTTTCAGGGTTAGAAAACCATGCGGAGAAGAGTCAATTAAATAAATCATCTTAGTCATACATTGGTTTTGATGAAAAATTTAGTGATCTGAAATGCAGAATCCCTTATATAGCTAAACATGGGCTCTTATTGGAACATCTCCTAGTATAACTTTTGGTAATAAAACTGCACTTATCATTAGAGCTTGGGTTTGAAGGATTTCTCCTTTTTTTTTTTTTTTCTTTTTAAGGGGTGGTTCTCAACATGATCTATGTCAATCATGGATATTAGATTTAAAATAAGAAATCCTACAGTATCTTTTTTTTAATCTATTTTGCAATTTAATATTAAAATATATCTTTTTTCAATTTCAAACAAAAATAGTTTTTTTTTTTGTTTTTTTTTGCAGTTTTACAATCTGTCTACCAATTTTGTACACAAAAAGATCTAATAAACTCTGTCTTCATTGAAAGTTTAATTCAGTTGAAGATATTCACGAATTATTATGTATTCTTTTATGCTGAACTAAATATCTAGTTATATCAATTTAATTCAAAATTTAAAAAAGGAAAAGAAATTATGTAAAACACTCATAATTTTTAGAGGTTTGTCTAGAAAACATTAGTAAATAATATTTAATAAATCAAAATACCTACATTTTGAGTGTGAGGAAGTTATTAATCTTCTATTTGGATTCACAGAAAGATTTACTGTTTACACAAGGCATTTAATTTGATTTGATTTCTAAAAATACTAAAGTTCCATAAAACACTAGATTCATCCCATTGTCAGTTTTGCAGTGTCGGCCTTAGACATTCAGCATCCCTGAGCAATGAGCAATGACGAGGAGATGACTCCCTCCCCCTAAAAAAATTAAATTTATTTCCTAGGCTGTTTTATATTGTATTATATTTGGATTTATTTCATTCAAAATTTCTCTAATACAGTTGCTTTATTGATAGGCTAAAATTAATTATTTTGTTAGGTTTGTATTTTTTTCAATACATTTTTTTTATTTATTTTTTTTATCACCCTTTCTGCCATTTTTGCCATACAGTGTTTCAGCACTGGGTTAATACGTTGGGAATACGTACATCTACTGCTGCCAATAAGACTTTATTTTATTTTTAATCCAATTTTAATGGTTGTATACTGTGGTGCGGCCTGGTACATGGTTGGGGGCCTTACTGTTGGGACCGCACCTTAGTCTCCAGCTGGTCGCACATCCTACCCTCCTGGATAGCTTCCTTCACCAGCTTGATGCTGCCTCTCCCGATCCTCTTACTCCTGTCCTGCTGGTGAAAATCCTCTCCCTTTCGTGAAGTGCGTAGGTTCCACCTTATGTCTCCATTTTCCCACAAACTCCACAAAGTGGGGTTATTTCTCCTCTTCCATCTATCAGGGAAGATCTTCTTCATCTAGGGCGTACAGTCCCATCCTCCGCATCAATATGCCTCTGGCTTGCTCCATCATGGTGCATGATATAACCACATGCTCAGCCGTATCAGGGACATAAGGGGTCGATGTTCTTCCTATGCTTCATGAATTTGTCTCTGAACCTCCCATGTCCAGTCCAGTAGTCCGGCTCGACCCAATGTGCTTTACATCTGGAATGAACATGGGGGAAGTACTTTCTCAAGGTGGCTCTGTTCTCACTTTCAATCCACTGCCCATTCCACTCCTTTAGCGTTGCCTCTTGGACTATGCCATTCCATCTTCCTGAATCCTCACGTACCCTCTGCTGAAGCCCCTCTGTGAGTTCTTCCAAGCGTCCTCCTGAAGAGCAACTCCCCGGCACTTGCACTGCTTAGTGGGACTCGGTTCTTTACATTCTGGTCGTCCTCATCAGGGCAAGCCTCTGGTGGTGATCATCTTCTTCTGCACATGATTCAGGCGATGGTTGCACACTAGTGATGCATACCTCAGTATACCTAGCACGACTCCCTTGTAGATGATTCTCGTCACTGGGTATCTGAGGCCCCAAAAGGCACCCCCTAACTTTGTTGGTCATTTAGGGACAGGGTCACCCTACTCTGTAGGTACTCTATCTGAGATGAAATATTGAATTTCAATTTAAATCTCACGCCCATTTAGGTGACCTCATCAGCTAGGCAGACTCTGTCCCCTCCTACTCTGAGAATAATAGGGTAGGTCTGTCCGTAGAATCCTTCAACAGAATGGCCTAGGTCTTCGCCGCCACCATCTTCATTTTCTTTGTTGCACACATCTTCAACTATGGTGGCACACCTTTCTCCTTCTGCCACCAATCTCGCCCTGCTATTCGCTGCTACTATGACAGCCAGGTCATCAACATAGGAAACAGCACCGAAGCCCGCTACCTCTAATTAACAGCAACTGATCAAATACTAACTTCTACAGGGTCGGTCCTCAGGACTGAGCTCTGTGGACATCCTCTTTCTTTTTTCTGCTCTACCTCATAGAAGGTACCCCATATCCTAGCTTTCCTATCACTGAGGTACCCCCTAATGAGGGAGTATATGTTGATGGGGGCGTCGAACTGTTGGAGGCGCTTTAGCATGCAGGGCTACCCTCATGCTATCAAAGGCAGAAGATATGTCAAAGAAGACCATCATGACATATTTCGTCACATTGTCATCAACCTCCCTGCGTAACCTCATAATAGCATCTCCGGTGTCGTGCATTCGTGGATCCATACTGCCTCAGGTGACTCGCTGCCCGCAGGACTGGCACCAGGTCTTTAGAATGCGATGCTCTAGGACCTTGCTCATTACAGGGGGAAGGCATATGGGTCTGTAGGACTTTGCTAGCTGCTCTCTTTGTATAGCAGCCTCAAGTTGGCGACCTTCCATTGAGTTGGGAAGTGCTCTCTATCCCAGCATTCATTCATTATCTCAAGCAATTCTTCAATATAGGGAGCTCTTCCTAACCTCTGTCTGTCTATCGCCATTCACAGTTCCCACACGTTCCATGATGGAATGAACTCTATGCCAGGCGGATACTCTGTAGTCTGCCTCAGAGCTTCATCGTCTTCATTGTCTTGGGATGGGTCATCCCTGGTGAAGGTCTGGTACAAATATCTTCCTACTGTTTCCTCCAGGGTGGCTGCTGGTCCACCTGCTGATCTTATTGAAGCCATTATTTGTTCAGGTTCAAGTTTATGCATACCACTCTGTACAGTATTCCCCAGAGATTCTTCTCACTTTCAGATCTTATTAACTGGTCCCAGAAAACTCCGGCCTTATATAGTCTATACTTCCCTCGGCATCCCTCCTGGAGTGCTGCTTTTCTTCCTTCCTCCCTCCACTTTTGGTATCTAATCCTGGCCCTGTTATATTCTTTCTTGAGTTCTGTCAGTGCTGGAGTCCACCATGGAATGCACTTTATCTTTATTCCTCTGGGTTTCAGCGAGTCACATGCAGCAGTACATATTAGCCTAGACAATTCCTCTATGTGCTGGTCCAGGCAATAGCTCACATGGGCAGTGGAGTTCTTAGTCTCTTCCCAGTCCTGGTCCACCAGCTTGGACTCTAGAGTGCTGATAAAGAGTACCTATTCTGCGGTGTTCGTTACGAATCCCATTTTATTTTTTGCTGTAGCGGTGATAACTGTCATTTAACTTAAATCTTATGGTCCTGTGGTCCATGATGTCAGACCATAGGGACCAGTCAGTAATCCTCCTTGACATGACAGTAGTAGCCAAGGTTACATCAATACAGCCCTGGCCCCTCACTCCCATAAATGTGGGTGCAGAGGGCTCATTCAATACGATGAACTGGCATCTGGCTAGGCAGTCCTCATCTGTCATACCCCTTGCATCTGTCCTAACTGATCCCCAGACCCCGCTTCACGAGTTTGTGTCAGAGTGCAACAGTCTCAAGAGCAGCAACATTATTAGTGATATTCTATTGAGGTGGCATGTATGAGGATATCAGTAGGTATCTAGGTAAGAGGTATTCCTCCATTTAACATAACATACCGCTTTCTCCACTTTCATGTGCTGCCCCAACTCCATGACATTGAGGGAGGGATCAAACACAATGATGGCTGCCCTGAGCCTCCTCTCTTCACTGCTACCCTTGATGCCACTCCGAATTCGACAACCACACCTATCAGGCACCACTTCTGTATTGCCATTATATCGCAGTGCCGGGCCATTTCTTTTATAACTTTTAACAAACTTAATAATAACTTTAATAACAAACTAATAACTATAAAAACTTAATAACTTCTAACAATTGGTGCCCCTTAAGATTTGTCAGGCCCACTAACGGGCACCTCTCCAGGTTGGTTTCCCGGGGCATTCACCCTGGTTGCCCCATGCTAAGGCCAACATTGCAGATTTATCTTACCTGAAAGAGTGGTTGGTATTTTGCAGTGTTAATTGTTGATTCTCTGTGTATAAAATGCCAGAAGTGAGTTATTCTCAAAAATCTTTGTTTAAGACAGATGATTGAATAAAAGATACTTTCAATACATCCAGAAGAGTTTGAGAGGGGCACATTTTTGCGAGATTATGAATTTTTGAGAGAGCGCATAATTACAGAGTAATGAATTTTTTAACCAAGGAACAAGTTAAACAGCTAAACTATAATTTTAGTTTTATTTGCACCATTTTAAAAAAGAGAACAATCATTTTTTTGGAATGGGGACAGGGCTTACGCCATCAGCCTTGAGAGGATGAGCACCTAGATATTCAGACAAGAACATATTACAAAATATTAATTTTATTGTTTATTTAATTTTAATCAATTTTCTATTCTTATAACTGTAAGTTAAAGTTCATAGAAGTACTTTCATGACTTTTAACCCATCTCAGAAGAATATTGTAACATACCTCTTATGTTTTACAAATAATAATAGTATAACCTCGAATGATCACTTTAACACTATTAGGATACTTTCTAATTAAATAAGAGGTTGTTTAATAATAAACAAAATTATAGTAGTATTAATATATTTATTTATCTCAGGTGTGGGTTACTGACAATCAGATCAACTCAGACAAACTATTATTATTTAAACTATTTATATTAAAATTAAACATTGATTTTAAAATAATGTCAAGTATGAATTGACAAGCTAACCTTTTTTCTATATTCAATGTTTCTTTCTTTGTGGCACTGAACTTATTTGTCTTCACACATTTTCTTATGTTCTGCCAACACATATCCCAAAATGGTAACACTGTTCTTCCACTCAACTCAAGCTCCCTGGGAAATCCTCTCTCTTGCAATTCGAAACAACTATTCTCCCTCCCTATTACTAACTATTACTGGGTTTTATCCACTAGAGCCAGGATAGCATATCTTCTCTTAACCTCTCTTCACTGCAGTCACACAACAACTGCTTGCCAAAACAAAAATCTTTGTCCCTCTCCTCTTTGGGATTTTCCTTCCTGGAAAATTACAGAGTAGCCATTTCTTTTCCCTGCACTAGTAGAACTAGATTAGCTTGCCTTTTAATTGTTTAACATTAATTTATTAAATCATTTTTACTCACTTCCAATAAAGGTGTACATCACAATATATAACAACAAAAATGTTGTTAATACCCTATACTGTAAATACGGTATGTGAAATTCAGTTGCAATGGATCATGGTTTGCAAGTGGTCTTGTGTCTATCATATCATAAACATTTTTAACACTAATATTTTTACTTATAATCCTCATTTTAGGTAACATGAACATTTTACTCATTTCTTTTTCAATGGTATATAAAATGTTGTTTATATTTTATTTGCTCTAGACATTTTTGGAACATACAAGAATTGTAGAAACACATATTCCAAAAGAATCTTTCTCAAAATCATCTGAAATATCTGAGGTATTTTTAAATTTAATTTTAATTTCTATTTATATGCTAATTATTTACTTTTAAAAATAAGATCAAATCAATAAAATACTTGAGACATCTAACTAAGAAATTTTTCGAATTTTATACTATAATGCTTTGAATTATTCAATAATTTTAGTTAAACCTAATCTTTAATTGGTGGTCTTAATCTGCCATTTCAATTTCAATTTTCTTTGCTCTATTTACTTAAAAGATATTATTTTATTTTGTTGTTTTAATTGAAACCTACTTCAAAGAAATCTGCTTAGAAGCTTAGGAACTCATTTTCCTCTAAGAATTGGGAAATTGTAGTTGCAATATTGTAATTTAAAGAATGTTGGCTAAGTTTTATTTGCTATATCTTTACTATTAACTTCTAATCCTTCATTGATTTTTACCAATTTAATAAATAATAATGGTCTATTGGTTGACACCACATGAACTCTGGTAATGATTTCACATATTAACATTTTAAGTAACTGGTATTCATATAAAATATAGTGTGTTTTGAAAATTTCATTAACATATTGAGGAAAGTAATACACACATTTATACAATAACATTTAAATATATGTCAATATTAATTTATTTTTAATTATCCTTATTCATAACTGACTTAAGACTGTTCTTGTTTGATCTATAACAAAGGCATTGTGATAGTTTTATTTTTTTCTAGGAATGAGGCTAGGGTTCTTAGGAGACTAATTTATTCCATTCCATAGGATATGATGAAATCTTCACTGAAATAAAAAATCAATAAAAGCAATTCTTTACTACTTTTTTAAAATCTCTAATTATAACTTCAATACCTCTGTCATTTATTTCCTCAAAAATATTTTCCTGATAATAAATATATATATATTTTGAATACATATTTTACTAGAATAGAACAGAATAGTTTAGAATTATAACACAGCAAAAGTTTTCACGCATATGCATAATAATTTATCTATTTATTTCATTCAATTTTTAAAAAATATTTAAATGCTATGGCCAATATAAGTTTAATCCAAAATAGGCCAAGAGATGAAATAAAAGAATTATTATCTAGACAGCTAACAAACGAAGTTAGAACTATGGATTACAGTGGCCTTGAAATGGAAAAGTTATAGATAAGAGAAAATTGATGAGGGAAGAAGACAGAGACAGTTCCCAATTGGAGAGTCTTTAGAAAGAATTAAATAATGCTGAAAAGTCTTGCAGTATGAAATTAGTATATCTGTGGCTCTTGTACATAGTGGGAGAGGATGGCAGTTATTGAAAAATAACAGCTTAATTAACCAGTCACAACTGAGAAAAATAAATAATGTAGTAATAATCGGTTTAAGGTTTCTTCCAATTTTTCAGGGGAACAATTTTTTTTTAATTGTAAACATTAAATGATAAAAATAACCATCCTACTATAAATCATGAACATTCTTAATTACTCAAAGTGGATGGACTCAGTTCTTCGCTAATCGTATAGGTAACTGGTTATAACTTGGTAAAAATAGTGATTAAAACTATGCTCATTTTGAAGAAATTAACGAGAGGGTCTCAAATTCTGCCACTTATTTCTTGATTACCTAAATATTACACAATGCTGTAGGGAGGATTAAAAATGAGTAATGTTTTTTTCTATTTTTATTTTCTGAAACCAAATATAGAAAAAAATATATTGGAATTTTGATTATTATGTAAAATTGCAGATATACATACTTTGACCCATTATTACTGGTCATCCCCAATCTCTACTCCTCCATTCCATTCCTATTCTCCCACTCTTCCACTGTTTGGCCATTAATTAATGCTCACACTATCGTTTCATTGCAATGTTGTAAAGACAAAACTATTTTAATTTACAATGTATAATATTTAATTTTATTAGAATTTATGTGAATTGAATTTTTCTTACACATCATCCATTATTCTATTTATATGAAGCTAGAGGGCTCCATAAATGTCAAATCAATTCTTTTATGAATACTTTATGTTTCAGGCACATAAAAATGAAGAAATGGCTGATATAAAGGCTTTTAAGGAAATACAGTTTGGTCTACAGGAAATCATACTTTCAGAGAAAAAAAGTAAACAAATCATCAAAACATTGAAGAATAGTCATTACAAGTATGCTCCTTTTGAAGAACTTAGTGAAATGGACCCACTATCCTATGAATACACCAAAATAAGTAAAAAAGATGTATCTACTCAAACTCTTGCAGAACAAGATGAAGAATTTTCATTCTCTCATTCAAAAGTTATTCATGAATGTATCAATGAATTGTTTAAACGGATTGTTGAACATACAAATGTGGAACAAATTCAAAACCAAGATAGTGAAGAAAGAAATTTACAACATGGTAAAATACTTGCTGAACTTTCAATAACTGATATGCCAAATAACATTAGAAATGCAAATTTTCTGCAAGAATCTATTCCTAAAGAAGTTACAGATTTATTAAACTTTGATTCTAGTCCAACAGATAAGAAAAAAACGATCATGCCAATTATTGATAGTCATGGAAACATTAAAAAAAATGATGTAGCAGTATTAAAAGATATCAGAAAAAACAAGAAACATATGGAAAATGAAATGGTGTCCACAATATCTGTAAGGCCTGCTGCCACTATTTCAAATAATTTGGATAATGTATCGACTAAAGCTATGGCTGACTGGCATACCCCTGAAGTACATTGTCAGTCAAATGTAAGTTCCTACAATCCATTGTTACCATCATACAGAATGCCAATGGCTTCAGGCCTCATAAACAAAGGACCAACTGAAATCAACCAACATGTTCCTGAACTTCCTTCTATGACATCTGCATTAACTTCGCAACAAGAGATTCCAACAGGTTTAAATAATGAACAGCTCAATCCATATGCTAACTTAGTAAGAGCAACTGACTCTTTGATATCGCCCAACAGTTCTTTGTCACTGGCCCCTACTCCTCCTCATTCAGAACTTAATTTAACTAATGGTTCTCCCACAACATTATTAAACAGACGAGCAGTTCTGAAAAGTAGTTTTATCAGTGATTCATTTCCAGGTTGCAGAGAAGATGAAATACTTGTCAAAGATACCTCAATTAAGTATTACCCACCTTTGTCAAAAAATAATTCAAATCCAACTTCATTTAATCAGGTTCAAGGCATGACTTCAGCAGGAGGGATGAGGGACTGCAATCACCCTATACAACAACCACATCCAATGACGTTTAACCAATACAGTTGCAGGCCTCATTATCCTCCAGTGAACAATCCATTTCGTTTTTATGATGATGATACAATTGCAAATTCTAGTACAAGAATCATGGGAAGACAGCGTGAATGTTCAGTAGATCCTCATTCTTTAATGAGAAATACTGTTCAACTCCAACACCCACTACCTTTTAATTTACCTTCTGGAAACAATGATGAACCAATGTCCTATACAAACCAAGCTAAAAGGAAAGGTAGGGGTAATGGAAATACATCATCCACACAGCGTACTAATAGAAAACAACCTCCTGGAGTACCAGCTAATATTGTACTCAACACTAATCTAAGTTATGATAATCCAGCTTTGCAAAGATGGCATAACATTCCTACACAACAATATAGTAATTCATTCAGAACTTTAGATTCTAGTTGCATACCTAATTCAAGTTCTCAATCTATTTCAAGATCTCTTGCCCCAAGCCCTATTTTTCGAAATGATTCACAACCTCCATCCTCCAAGTTACCTTCTTATGACACAATACGAAAGAAAAACAATGGGTTGGATACAGCTTTACCTATTACAGAATCTCCATCCATCAGTTTGCCAATTAACACGATTGGTAATTATTTTCCTGATCCCAATGTTCCAATAGCTGTGCCAATTGCTAGTTCTCAATCTTTTTCACCCATAATTAATAATTCACTTAATTTACCTGCTATAAATATTCCATCTTCTTTAACAGCCACAAATGTTTCGGTTTCTGGACCAGTTATTTCTGCATCAACTTCGTTTTCAGTTCCAACATCACCAGAAACTAATTCAGAAATAATGAAGTCGAACAATTTTTATAGGAGATATCCAAATGATTTTAGATTCACCAAGTTTCAATTATTCCAGAATTCTCTAAACTTCGCATTTCGTAAAGCTATTATTTTGCTAACATGCAAAAATGATCTTGGATTTTTAGAATATAATTTTAAGAAAATGCCTATCCCTTTACAAGCTTTTGAAGATGGATTGTATTTTTTTGAGAAATCTAAAAGCAACATTGATAATATTGTTACTTTATTGTCTCAAACAAATGGAAATTTTATGAATGAGAGAAATATGTTTCCACCTCAACTATTAAAAGTTAATAATATTGATATATACAAAGGTAAAGTTAACATGGGACAGGAACAGAGGAAGCTGCATGAAATTACTCTTCACAATGATTACTCATCATTTGTTTATCAAGATAAAATTAGAAATTTGTATTCTAGGTTTAGCAGCTTATCACATAATGATTTTATGGTTAAATCAGATCAAAAAATTAGATGTAATTGTTTACAGTGTTTAGTAAATACAATTGTGTTGGTTGTTAACCGAACAATTCTTGATCACTTCAGACATTATCAGAAATATATTGCATCTAAGGATCCTAAAGAAAATGAAAAAAATCAAGCTTCGAAGATGGCAGAGACCTCTAAAAGATCCTTAGAAATGAGCATCGAAGAAGAAGAATCCCCTCTTCCCTTAAAAAAACGACTTACTTCAACATCTCCAAATGAAGTTAGATCTGTTAAAGACATTGAGGTTTCATACCCCTCCACTCCTATGATCAGTATTGCTGAACTTGAACTTTTGAAGAATATGCCTACAAATATAGAAAATATAACTGAATCAGTTAGTGGAATTCCAAACAGTAGAATTCCCAATTACATTGCTGAACCACAGTTATCTGAAATCAATAAAAATATTTCCACTAATAAACCAGTTCCTGAGGTTACCACATGTCATGTTTTAGAAAACAATGAATCCAGAATTATATCAACTAATAATAATAATTTATCGCATGTTTCGAGTTCACCAGTTGTGGAATGCACAGTTGCTGAACAGCCAAGGAAATCACAGGAAAAGAATGTTAGTAAAAAGTCTCTTCGAAGAACCCGTCAGTATGAAAAGAAAAATGGCCGAAAATAAATATTCATTGGTAGTCTTGAAAGCGGAAAATTGAGATTAAGTGAAATAATTTTTCTCAAAGGAATAAAAATTGAATTTTTCATAAGGGCCCAAATACATTACTTAACATTTTTTAAAATATTGAAGACAAATAAACATATATTCAAGAAATAGCTGAAAGAAACTGTTACTAGATTTCTCTCATTGCAATATTTTTTGTTTTTACTCTTAATGTCTATGGCTTACAAGTTTTTGAATTTTTAAAATTAACCATTTGGACATTGGTCAAGTGTTGGTAATTGGTATTGTGATTTAATCTACTGGGGAAAAAGTAATTAATTTTTTTCCTCAACTTTTTGATGCTTTAGATATTTTAAGATTTATTAAATTATAATTTTTGTTCTTTACATGTTCCAAAAATTCAAACTAAGGAATTAATTTTTTACTATTATTAAAATAGATTATGTGTATAATAAGCTCAGTTATTACAGCTATTACAATTGAAGAATTTGTGATTCTAGTAATTAACTATAATTTAAATAAACTCTAACCAACTTATATTTTTTTCTTTATAATTTTATGCTTAATTCTTCTACATAGTTTCTGTTTTAATATTTATTGGCAGTTTATTATGTAAACTGTTTTCTTATAGTTAGTTATATATGTTTGCATATTTCTTATCAATTGATGTCTAGTACTTTGAGATACTTTAGAATAATATGGGCATGATACAGTAAGGATATATTTTTTCATAATTTTCTAGTAATAAAAAATATAGCATTTTAGTATATTAGTTCATACTTTTTTTTTTTATTGCTCTTCTGCATGTTGAAGCATTTTCAACATTTAGTACTTATAAATTACTCCATGTGGTCATTGAAAGAGCACTACTGATTTGTATTTCTGTTACTTTTAATGTAAAATATATTTTAAACTAGTTTTGAGTTTTTGTTTCTATTTTTTCATTCCATTATACTTTTTTTTTATCATTTTGACTTGGTAGATGATACACTTTTAGAAGTTTGATTGTTAGTATTTCAACATTTGGAAAGAATCTAAAAAAAAAAAAAAAAAAAAAAAAAAAAAAAAAAAAAAAAAAAAAAAAAAAAAAAAAGATCTATCTTAACCAAAAAGAAATTTTTTTTTTTTTGACTTGATTCTTCAACTCACACCTGTCAGAAGTTCCGACAATCAGCGAGTGTGATGTCAAGATGAAGAGATTGGTCTTGGAATAGGCGTGAGGGAGAGGAATACCCAGCGGCGTCCTTCCTGTCTTGAGCGTAATATTTCTAGTTAGTGGAGGAGATCCCTCATCCAGCTTCTTTTAAGCCTCCTTCGGGTGCTATCGGGCATGTTAGTTGTGGCCATGCCTCGAATCAATGAGTTTGTATGTCCGTGTAAGTTATTATGAAATCGTTTGTAGTATGTTCGTATGTGGTCGTTAACTGTTGGCATCTGTAAGTCTTTATGTAGAGTAATGTTACTGACGTACCAGGGAGCTTTGGTAATAGTCCTGAAAGTTTTAGATTGAAAAGTCTGTAATTTACGTATGTGAGTCTTTTTGGCTGTCCCATATATCTGTAAAGCGTAGGTCCAAATAGGCTTGAGTAGGTAAGTATATGTATTCAATTTCTGTCTAAGTTTTAATTTCGAATTTCTTGCAAGGAGTGAGTACAATAGGCGTAGTCTTAGGTTTAAGGTTTTTGTTTTGTTTTTGATATGTTGGCCCCATGTCATTCTTCTGTCAAAGGTCAGTCCAAGATATTGAACTTTGTCTGTCTGAGGAATTTGGATATTGTCAAGGTAAATAGGGGGGCAAGTTTCACGTCGAAGGGTAAAAGTGATATGTTGTGATTTGTCAAGGTTGAGTCGAATTTTCCAGAGTTTGCACCAGTCGTAGAAATTGTTTAGGTGATATTGTAAAGTCTGTGAGGCGTATGCTGAATTTTGATGTCTTGTCAAGATTGTTGTATCGTCTGCGTAAGTCGCGGTCAGAGTATAGAGTGGATCTGGAATATCATATGTGTAAATAATATACAACAGAGGAGCGAGTACTGACCCCTGAGGCACCCCTGCTAGGGCTGGTTTAATGGTAGATAGTTCTGTACCTTGGCAAACAGAGAAAAATCTGTCAGAAAGAAAAGATTGAAGAATAAGATAGTAGGTTGGAGGGAGTATAGTCTTAAGTTTGAAAAGAAGTCCCTGATGCCAGACTCTATCGAACGCTTGAGCAACATCCAGAAATACTCCTGTTGCATATAATTTGTGCTCTAGTGCTGTCGCAATGTAGTCTGTCACTCGGTGTAGCTGATGAATGGTTGAGTGGTGTGAACGAAATCCAAACTGATGTTCAGGTATTATGTTTTCAGTAGTCAGTATGTCAAGAAGTCGTTTGTAGAGAAGTTTCTCAAAGATTTTAGAGCATAATGGGAGCAAGCTGATGGGTCTGTATGATGAAGGAAAGTCAGTGTTTTTGTTAGGTTTGTGAATCATTTTTATGAATGAGTATTTCCATTGTAAGGGGAATTTAGTCGTTCTGAGTATTGCGTTATAAATTGATGTTAGGTATACTAGAGCTTTCCTTGGCATTTTCTGGAGCACTTGAGCATTTATCAGGTCATGACCGGGAGCTTTCTTTTTAGGTAACTGTCTGATTTGTTCTGCAACTTGAGTGGGAGTGAAGCAAAGTGGAGGTAATGACAGTTGTAAAGGAATGTCTAAAGTGTTTTGTACATGTCTTTCGTGATCAGTATTAGAGAAGTCAGTATGTGGTATGAAAACAGAAGAAAGATGGTTGGCAAAGAGCTCAGATTTTTCAAGGTCTGACACAGCCCAGGAACCATCTACGTTTCGGAGTGGTGATGACACCTCACAATGCTTTACAAGTTTCTTAGTCTGTCTCCATAAGCTTCCATCTTCAGTCGAAAGATTTTTGAGGTAATTGTCGTAGATCGTTCTTTTAAAATTCTGAATCTGTCGTTTAAGTTCATTGTTAAGTCTATTGAAAGTCCGTTTGTCAGATGGAAGTCGACCAGTCTGCCACACTTTGCGCGCTCTTCTCTTTGCTCTGATCAGGTCTCTAATGTACTGCGGATAGATTGGAAGAGACGTATTTCTGCTAGGTCTTGGTACAGATGATGACCTTACAGCCTGTTGTAAGCTGATTGTGAACTTATCAACAGCTTTTTTGAGTTCCTCTTCGGTCTTAAGGGACATTGGGATTGATAGCGTCGAATTTAAGTAGTCGCTGTAAGCTTTCCAATCGATTATCCTATCTGTAAGTGTTGGTTTTTTTGATGCAGTACGAGGCTCATCGCATAGTACCAAACTGAGAAGAGAATGATCAGAACAAAGATCAGAGCTTGCAGTTACAGTATACGGCACTGTCCTGAGTCCTTTAGTAATGAAAAAGTCAAGTAAATCTGGTGTTTTCTGTCTTGAAGTTGGCCAGTAAGTAGGTGTATCAGGTGAGATCGTGTTTAATGAAAGCTGATCGATGGCAGACTTTAGATTTCTTCCTCTAGGAGTACAGAGTCGTGCTCCCCAGGACTGATGTTTGGCATTATAATCACCACCTGCAATAAAACACCGACCGAGATGTTGGAAAAAATTGTAAAACATTGCAGATGTTAGCACGTATCTCGGAGGGCAGTACACTGCAGCGAAGGTAAAGGTATGGTGCTGGGTATACAGAGTAATTGCTGTGGATTGTATGTCAGGTGTAATGGGTAATTGTAAAGGGTTGTGTTTTAGCGATTGCTTAATCAGTATTGCCGTACCGCCATGTGCCGTCTTATCAGGGTGGTCAGTTCTATATATTTTGTAGCCTGGAATGTAAAATTTAGAATGTGGAGTCAAGTGTGTTTCAGTGATGAGAGCAATGTCAGTCCGTTTTTCATGTATGTACATGTCAAGTTCAGTCCTGTGTTGGTTTATACCATTTGCGTTCCAGAGAAGAACGGACATGGAGCCCACTGTCAGCCGATTAGTAGCCATAACTGGAGGATAAGGCTTGTGCAACGTGAGACAGTTCTTGTAGAAGGCTGAAAAGAGGCTGGATGAGGTTATTCAATCCACTTACCAAGTTGAAGAGCTGAGCTGAAGCCGGGTGATTGTAAGTCGGTAGTGGCGGTTGAGTAATGCCCTTTTTCATTTCTGGATGCTTTGGCTGGTGAAGGTGATTTTCTGGGACTTCTGCAGGAGAAGTTCGCAGTTTTGGTCCTAGATATTGAGAATCGGGTTTTGAAGAACCTGAATTTGCGGTATGCTGACTTTGCGGAAGAGAAGGAAACTCGTCTATACCTGGGGGTGCGCTAGTTTGTGCTTTTTGGGGACTTTGTATATTTTTACGGAGATTGCGTACTTCCCTCAGTTGTTTTAGAGTTGCACAACCTCTATAATTTGCTGGATGGGATCCGCTACAATTCGCGCATGTTGCTGCGGTCTCTCTTGTCTTTGTGCAGACGGTGCTATCATGTCCTTGGCCACATCTCACGCACTTCGGGGAGTGATTGCAGTAAGCCTTTGTGTGGCCATACTGCTGACAACGGGTGCACTGTGGAATCATTCTTTTCTTTCTTGGCTCTTCGATTTTCACTCTAGTATAGTATAAAAATTTGATATCAAAAATTTTTTCATTAAATGTGGCTTTAGAGATATCGATAAAGAACATGGGAAGTGGATTTTTGTATCTGCAAATAACGTTCACAATACTTGTGGCATCGTAGCCTAGGCATTTTAATTCGTATTTTATGGTTTCAATTGGAGTAGCATGGTGTAAGTTTTTTAATACGATTCTTGGATTTCTATCTTCTATTAACTGATAGGTATGGAAATCGGCACCTACCTGTCTTAAGTTAGCTACTATACGTCTATATGTGTCAGAGTTTTCAGGATATACGGTTACTCCTCTTGATGTGGATTTTAGGTTAAAGCTGTTCAAACCTCCTACATTTTGGAGAAATGTGACCAGTTCGGTGTAGTTCTGTACATCATTCAAGTGGATAGGGGGCGGTTTTACAGAAACTGGTTGCTTAGTGGTAGCATCAGACTCGTCACTAATGTTAGTTAAAACTTCAAAACTATTAGTGGTTACTGTTGTAACTTCACTTACCTTTTTAGCTTTTCTTGGGTCTCTGTTATTGTCCATTGAGCGTTTTCTTCCTATAACGAGTTCCCAATTATTTTCAGTAGTTTGGTTTGAGTTTAAAGCGTCCACATTTTCTGTAGAACTGGCAGATATCGACGTCTCAGACATCGTTTGCGGTGAAACCGCAACACCGAGGTGTGGAGTTCCTATTTCTTGGAGCTAATAGGTTTCAACAACAGAATGCAACAAAAAGAAAAGTTTTCACTGTTAATTTACTCTAAGATTTTGTCAAAAAGATTTTCAAAGAAAAATTAACCTCACTTTTATCAATGTTCACACATGATCCAGCTGATCAACTCCCAAAAAGAAATTAAATTGAAAAACTTAATCTCCCATTAAGGACTAATTAGTTTGAGTTGGCTAAATTTTTGGTGACCAGTATAACTCTCTAAGATCTTTTAACAATATCCATTTATATAAATTTCACTCCATTTATCTCAAGGATCATTTAGAAACCGCTTTAAATGATTTCATTTTCACATATTGTACTACATTTGTATACATTATTGTTCTCTGTGAACGTTGGGTTACTTCAAAAAGATAATTTTTACTTTCATTTATCTATATATATATTTTTTTTTATCTATATATATATTTTTTCATTTATCTATATATATATATATATATATATATATATATATATATATATATATATATTTTTTTTTTTTTTCCTTTTTCTTTTTTACCTAACGTGCGAAATTTAAATAACTAAACTTTAATAACAATAAACAACTTTTAACCTTACCGTGCATTTTTTTAATTTTATCCAATTCTTAATATTTATAACCAAAAGATATAATAATATATAATTTTAATTAACACGTTGATGACCAACAGGTTCTACGCCTTTACTACACAACCAACCAACCAATCTATATATTTTTTAGATGGGAAGGTATCATATATTA